GTACCTCTTATGGTTTAGGTACTTACTTAGTTTTGAAGTTTTTAGTAGTCAGTCGTGCATTTAGGATGCCTTTGTGATTCCTCACTTCGTGCTTGGACTACTGCTGAAACTTTTGGTTTATTATTTTTCTCACCTTAGGTATGACGATGTTTTATGTTTTGGGTTTTTCATCATATGATGATAGTTTTTTTTAAGTGCAACTTCACTGTACTTTTCAGCGAGTTGGTGCTATAACCATCCCTCTTGTTTGGTAGACTTGAGGCTATCCCTTTTTCTTCCAATTCTCTTCTAACATTTTTGTTTCTACCTTACTTTTACTACTTGTTATCTGGTCGAATGGTTGTACATTTGTCCTTCCGTGATAACTTTCAATTTCCTAGTAAAAAAAAAATTCTTAAATGCTTCTTCGATTTTTTTTTTTTTGGTTAAGTTGGGGCGAGTGTAACGGTTTCACCGTCCGATCGTATTTATTAAATCACTTCTCGATTATCATTTCATTAATCCCATCTCTAGCTTTTTTTGCTTGGAAAATTTTCCGCTTGGAGCGCTTGATGCGGAGTTCCTGATCTGCGATCTTCCTCGCGCTTCCTTTTCACTTGAGCCGCCGATCGAACAACGGCTAGAAATTTCTTCTCTGTAGCACAAGGTTATATAGCACCATGTGCTAGAATTTTCTAGAATGTGTGTCCGTATAGGACAAAAATGATTGGGGCCACCCCCTTTCTCTTTCCCTTTCACTTTGCCTAGCCTTGGCCAATATTTTCACCCATGCATGTACCTTGGCAGCGCCATCGCCTTTAACTTCGCCTACAACTGGTTGTGAAGCCACTATATGGAGGTCACCCCTCATAACTGGGACCTCCCCTTCAAGCCCCTGGCCATCCTGGCTTCAGTCGAGTAAAAATGGACCAGCGAAAGATAAGTCGATAGCGTTATGGCAGCGCCAAAGATGTAAAACTTATTTTGTTATTTTTGTAAAATTGTAATGTAATGAAAATGCCTTTTTTTTTTGTTAAATAAAATCTGTTAAATTTTTGTGTTCTGTTTGTTCTTCTATCCTCTAGCCATGCCATGGTCGACACACAGCTACACGCCTGTAGATGTCTTCATGCCACCGACTGAGCTACCGGAAGCTAATGGTAACCCCCTTTCTGTGATTGTGCAGAAAAGTTGGAATCTTCATTGCATTCCATCTTTTCTGGACTTTTTGCGGAAAGGAAGCATTACACAGCTGTATGTCAGGAATACATCAGAACGTATTAAAAAATATTTATAACGAAAGTTAAAATTACATCGTGAACCACCTGATGCTGCACAAAATGGTGTGCCACAGGATCATAAGTAGGATGAAACATATTACAGATGACAGAGGTTGGTGGTGTCGGTGTCGATGGATGGAACGAAAAATTTGTTTGTAAAATGTGTGCTATGTTGCCAAATCACTTCAGATCATGTGATTTATCAAGATATGTTAAATAAGAACTTGTCAACAGACAAGAGGCAGTTGAACAAACTATATTGTTGATGAGATGGACAATCGAATTAAACAGTTATTATTTTATTATGAGAAAAAACAAATATTCAAAATTTGAATGGAACGGAATTTTGGAGAACAAAAAACCAAATTCCATTTATGATTGTAAAAAGTCAAAATTTGGAGAGATGTGTAAGTGCTCCAACTTTTCGCAGTTTAGCAAATATGAGTAAATGACGCTCAGTTGCTTAACATCTGTCTTCTTATTCATACAGTTGTCATTCATGAGAATGTGGGACATTTCCAGGAATAGACGTTTGGATAGGTGTTTTTCATTATCAAGAACTTTGATCTTGTGTAGTTCGAAGAGTGCGCTCGAGATGAAGTCTAGAATCACTTTTGTGTAATGAAATCCTTCCTTTTAGAGATCTGGAAGTCTGACTTATGTATATTTGGTTGCAATTATTGCAATTGATAGAGTAAACTGTGTTGGTTAAGCCAGTTTATAGTGAGGACGGATTTGCAAGCAATTCGACAGTTCAAAGGGCTACATAGTCTGATCACCTTAGGGGTCAGTTCCTTGATATAGGGTAGGACAGCAAAACCAGATCTGGAATTTGGGATGGCGATTATATTATTATTGGAATTGATGTTGTTGTTGGGAGTTATATCAATTCTGATATTAGGAGTTGTGAGAATATTATATGGATTGTTAGTATTTGGCAAAATACTGGAAGGGGAACTTAACAAGATCCTGTTAATCAAACACTTCGGATAACCATTGTTGATGAACAGACTTGGTAGCTTCCGTAAATTTGAAGTATGGAAAGTATTATCAGAGATGCTAATTACCCTTGTTTTTATCTGATTCACCAAGTTGATTTTAGTCATTGCTTGAATTTTGTTGAAGTACCCAACAAAAGGCGGAAGCTTTATTTTTCAGCTAATTGGTCTAGACGACAATGACCACGTATCAAGTTATATATATATATATATATATGTATACATAGATATTATATATATATATATATATATTAACGATTATAAATATCTAAAAGTAATATACCTAAATATACCTACTAATAGTAAATAATAAACATTTAATCATACATGTGAATGTAGACAAAAAAGGAAACAGTTTGCAAAGTGAGTGGTCAAACTATGTAGGTGAGTACTTTTCTAAATAAATTGTTCAATTTGTTTTTTTAAGTCATTGTATTTTATTGATTTTAATGCGTGAGGTATTTCATTATAAAATGTTATCGCGTTGTATGTGAAGCATTTATATTAAAAAGAAGATTTGTGAAGAGGCAATGTGAGTGTCTCAGTAAACCGTATGTTTCTTGAGTGAATAGAATTTCGAGGAATCCACAACCTACTTGAACTAACGGACAAGTATGGACGGAATCAAGGGGTATTCCGATAATAGTATTTCAAATGTGACATCAATATATCGACAATGTACATTTGCTCCCTACATACTGGAATACTAACCTCCATGTATATATCTAATTTCCCTACTCCTTGACTTTGCTACGTAGTTTTCGTTGTACACATATTAACCAAAAGTAGGTGTTTATATTATATTTAAGCCTGAAATACGTACGACTTTATATATAGAATCCTTAAACGTTCACCGAGGCATTAAAACTAAGCCGTTAGACTGGAGCCCATAAAGACAAACGTGTAGCTGTTCCAAGTTCGAACCTTTACAATCTATCTCTGTGACCTGGGTTGGCATCTTTCCAAAGATGATTAAGTCCCATTTGATTTAAGTTTCATCTCGGGTTTATGTGCCGTTTTACTGCTATATTTTAGTGGCGATGAGTTTTATATGCGGGAGAGAACCGATGCAAGTAATTCAATATTCATATCCCCATCACTCTAGTCAATATTGGGACTATCGCACCCCATGAGTCATTCCCGCCAGATTATGACCCTCTTGAATTTGACACATTGGCGTGGGGTAAGTTTTGCTCTCAATGCATTAGGGGAAAAGTACAGCCTTACTGTAAAAAGTAGCTTCATACATTTCCGTGAATATTTGCAATGTGACTGTCTAGTTGGAGTTCATCGTATTCTCCAAGGTTAGCTATTATAGTATCGCCTGTGGTGTCGCTTGAAAGGTGAACGGCATTGAACTCCAGAATTGGCAATAATAAAGATATATGGCCCATATGATATCTATTATTGTGTAGTGTAACCACAGAAATCTTTTATAGATACGTATCGTGACGTGACCCCGCTACTAGCAATGTGACATATCAAATTCAGTAACGCTGCAAAGAGGATTAGCGCAATGAGGTTTTAAAACGGAGTATCAATATTTCATATCCATGATGTGTCTATGAATGTGACATAATAATTCCTAAGGAGATAACAGCATGGTTCTCTTTAGATGTGGAAGTAGTATCTCTCGCGTTTCAAATGCAAAACAATAAACTTGCAATATTTTACTCGAAGATTGCATAATAATTAACTGGCGTGTTACGACAAAAGTTTTATGTAAGTTTCCGCGTTTTTGGAGGGATTTTGGCGTTTTCAGGACGATGGACGGAATGATGACTGAAAATCACATTTGTGATTGAAACGTCTACAGTAAAGAAGACTCTGTCAATATTTACATGAGGTTTTATTGGCCATGCAAGCATGTAGAATTAGTATTGAAAAGCTTTAGCATTACGTTGCTTTTGATACTATGAGTTAAGACCAACTATAGGAAGATAAGTTTTTCAGATATTTGATGTTTTATGATATAAATCCACGTCATGATATGCAACAAACAGTAGGACTGCTTGGTTGCTGAAATTATAAAATAAATGACTACATACCTGATAATTTCAGGGCCTACTCTGTTTTTTGAAATATCTATGGTTTGTCAAAGTCAATATTTGATATATTATACATTTTTGAAGTCAGAATTAAAAACTCTATTCACCTGTGTAAACATCGAATATGACGTCTTTAAGAAAAAATAATGTTGATGATTGAAGACAATAGGTGAACCGTCATATATTGAATCTCTAATTATGCCAAGAGAAAAACTAGCAATTTTATTGTACTTTGAAATCTCTTCTCAAATAAAGTCAGAAAAAATAAAAACGGAAATACTTGGAATTGCGAAGCTTTTCAAGTGCCGTTTCTGAGATTGGAATGGTGAGATTCGAATTTGAAACACACTGTATTTCTCTGATTCGAGTCGGCAATGAGACAACCGATATAGCAAATATAGGAATTCTATATAACCTTGACACTGACACGGATGTTTATATCATGGAGGTAACTGAGAATTGCATCGAGTTTTGTAACCCTGCGCTTTTATATAACGGCTTTTCAATTTCATTAGGATGTTAATTTAGTATCTACACACCAACCCGATTTTTGTCTGTCACCCAGCCGTATTTATTTACAAAGGTGGGAAGGGGTTAACCATAGCTTTGTCTGGGAAGATTATCACGGATGTTGGTCAGTCAGTTATAGCCCATTTCCTGTGTTACAAATATCATAAAATTAAAACGTCACTTACCCATTTGATAGATGAGCAGGCATCGTCTGCAACCTCCTGGCATACAACACCGATCCTCCTTCTGACAAATACCCGTCACCAATGTCCATCATTGCCGTATTCCTCAAAATTTCGCCATCCGAAAGATAGCCGTTTGCTATGGATATGTCGCAATAGTCGCTAACGCTATCTGGAGGCACTTTGTGATGATAATGCCTCTGTCTAGATGGTAACGTCAGTGTACTGCAGTATCCTCTCAGTAAAGGCCGCATTGGTTCTATGGAAATACCTGAAATTTAAGAAAAATGTATTTATAAGGCAGGAAGGCAGGCAGCTGTGAATGAGTCTATTGTCTTCTGTTTGTATAAAACAAAGGACGAGCGTGGGCATGTCAGGAGGCAGTAAAGGAACAGGAGCAGAAATAGAAGGATTGGTAACCCGAGCGACGTACGTTTCTGCCTATTGGCTTCACTAGGCCCAAATGGATCTGCATTGAAAACACCGAAGTGGAAACATATGCCCAATCATATCTGGATATGGGTGTAACTTGAGGAAAAAGAAGGATGGAAAGTGAAAATAACACCCAGCAGGTATATTTGTGGCTTTGATTGTATTGTATTGTATACCCACATAAACATTAAGGTGCTGGGGTTAGGCAAAGATGTTGACCAAGTTGGTTAGAGATCCTGTCGGTGTTCTCAAGGATCTACAATCCCAAAATGACGTATCAGGGAATGAAGAATATACACGAAACGAGGGAACTGATAAGACAGAAAAGAAAGTGCTGATAATACTACATATGAGGTTCTTGAATCCTGTAGTGAATACTTCTACGTAGACCGCCCAGAAACTCCAGTGCCAGAGTCGCAAATGATCGGTATTATTACCACAAAAGTAGAGTTATATGAGTCAAGTATGTGCCAAGGATATAGAGTATGTTGGCGCGACCATGGATAGAATTTCTTAAGCGGTAAATATAACGTACTCATATGTCCTAAAAGATTTGGCACAAAATTCATTGGATTTAATTTTAACCAACACAAAATAATGTGAAGTTGCCTTTTGAATAAACCTTTGTTTACTTACTTTATTTTTGGCTGACATTTATTTATTTTGAAGTTTTCGTTTTAAGATGTCGTATAAATTAGAAATAAGGAAAAGTATCTACAAGTTGGTTGGGCAAAACCATTTATCCAACAATGGCGGAGCGCTTGCAGGGAATAACATGTCTGAATCTCCCAAAAAGTGGAAGACCACGTGCATTTACTGCACAAAGGTCAGAGAGATTGGTGAGAAGAACAAAAAGTCTGGTTGGAAATTTGCTGATAAAATCCTTGTCTGTTGCGCAACAGGGGTGGGGAAGTAGTGAGGGATGAAGCTTTCAATAGTCAGAGCTATATTGATAACTGCCTTTCCAAATTGCTTCAGTTTGTCCACGAACATCATGTCACCATATCATGTTTTGGCCAGACCCAGTCTAAAGAGATAACCAAAACTGACAACACAACATACATTTTGTTCCCAAAAACGATAATTCTCCAAACTTGCGCCTCGCCCAATAGAGGATTTTTGGGCTTTACTGTCTAGGAAGGCTTATCATGGAGTATAGTATAGTTTAGTTGAGTATTGAGTTGTAATTTATGATAACTAGTTAGTGATTAAATAAATTTCTTCATTAAAAAAAGATCCGATAAATCTTTTGTGCCAACACTTTTGGGACCTATGTTATAGGGTGCTATTGTCAATTAGTGCAGGCTGTGAAGATCAATAGCTTGCCAATTTTGGTCTAACAAACATTAATTTAGATACTTGATCACCCCAAAAACTGTCATTTTAAGCACTGAATATATCAATTTATAGGGTTCTTTCAGGCATTAAATCGAACTCGATAATGGCCAACTTTAGAGAAAAGTTAATGGAGGCCTTTTTTGCTCAGAATATCAAAAAATCAAAGAAATTGAGTTCGAGGCAAAACACAGCACTGTATTTGGTTACATTTGGCTGGTTAAACTACGGCAGGTTTTTCACCGGTTACGTTTCCCACTGGCAAGGCCATGCCTCCTAAGTAATACAAAACCTAAGGAACAACTTCCCGAAGTCTTATTTCGGTACGCATAGAAAGTTCATGAAATTTGATTGCACTAAGTGATGCATCCTGGTACAGCAAATTTACAATTTATGAAAATGTAAGTATACTGCTCCGGCCAACATTTAAACTGGCAAGTTTTCATGATATTATCAAAATACGTAAAATTTGACTAGTTTTTATCACATCATCCCAAATACGCGATGTAACCCAAAATGTTCGGTCAGCTTTAGGACTACCACCGATTCTCTAATCCAGAGAGTAGTTTGACGTTGCTAGTCTGTGAAAAGTGAATTCATAATTGCATGAGTACGCTCATAATGTAATTTGTAGCTTTAAAAGAAAATTTACGGAAAATGTAGGGAAGTTGTTTGTCAGCCAAAATCACTTATTCCAAACTGATCATGAGCTTCCACAATGTCCACTGATCATGTTTGAACACATGCCGGCATGGCTATTACGTAAAAAACCTATAAAACGTCAAAAAAATATATATTTCTGAAGCTCTAGATGATAACTGCCAAGTTGATGTGATCTATACGGATTTTTCAAAGGCATTTGACAAAATTGATCATGGGGTTTTGTTGATGAAACTTGGTCACTTTGGTCTCTCACTTAGCGCTATAACATTCTTCAGGTCGTATTTGTCAGAGCGAAAACAATTTGTTGGATATAATGGCTTCAAATCTGAAACCTACTTAGCCCCATCTGGTGTTCCCCAGGGGTCCAACTTGGGACCATTGTTATTTTTATTATTCATAAATAATCTTTGTGAAAGTATGAATGGTCAACAGTTATGCTTTGCAGATGATATGAAGATATATTCATCAATCAGTGACGTGCAGGATTGCTTAGATTTACAGATGCAGTTAAGTAGTGTTAGGATTTGGTGCGATCTCAATAAATTATATCTAAATATAAGTAAGTGCAGAGTAGTTAGCTACAGCAGAAAGAAAAATGTTCGTGTATTCAACTATAATATCGACGGTGTAGTGCTGGAAAGAAGCGATATAGTCAAAGATTTGGGTATTATATATGACCATAAATTAACATTTACTACTATTTCGCGGAAAGTTTCGGAAGCCTTTAAGTCTTACGGTTTCATTGTCAGGAACTGTAAGCGATTTGATAACATGAGGGCCTTAAAAGTCTTATATTTTACATATGTACGTACAAAACTATAGAACTATGTGAGCGTTTTGAAATTCATAGTTTAGAATGCAGAAAGAAAGTTTCATCTGCCATATTCCTTTTTAAACTGCTAAATAGCATTATTGACTCCCCAGTCATTTTGGCACAGATTAATTTCAATGTTCCTTCGTTCTCTTCACGCAACTATGTAACTTTTAAGCTATCAAGGACTAGGACCAATGTGTTAGTCAAATCTCCTACATATGTTACGTGTAAACATCTAAATTGTATTAGCTGTCATTGTGATATATTTACTTGTTCGCTTAACTCAGTAGTTAGAATGGTTTATTTGTATTTGAAATAACTTTTTTTTTAACACCACTGAATATTATTTAATTGTGCTTATGTAACACTGATCAACAGCCAAAAAATATCCTAAATAAAATCAACAAAATATTACTATTTTTAATGTGCTAAAACCGGAATGAAACTTATTTTTTCAATATTAGTTCAAGTTTTAGAGATACGGTAATTATATGTGTTCCTGCTGTGACAGTGTTAATATACTGTAATTCACAAGAATGCACGTGCTACATTTTTATATTCGGCAAGGAAAGATGATGTAATCGGCATGATTGTGTTACGTTATACATACGTGTACATTATATTGTTTTATATTAGCCATTTTTTCCTCAGTTGGCTGACAGCGTTCATGCAAGATGTCTCGAAAGTGTGTAAACAATCCAGATCAGTTTTGTTACGTGTGTGGTGATGTGACTTTTGCGTCTCAGAGACGGTCTATTACTCCACTAATAACAAAGGCATATCAGCTTTATTTCGGTTGTAAACTAGGTGATCAAGACAAACAGTGGGCACCCCACATCTGCTGTAATACAGGTGCTTCAAGTCTGAGGAGCTGGTTAAATGGCAAAAAACGGTCTATGCGCTTTGCTGTCCCAATGGTTTGGAGAGAGCCTACAAAACATATTAATGATTGTTACTTTTGCCTTGAATTGGACAACCCACAGGTATGTCCAAGAAAAAAAAATCGGTTATTAACTACCCAAACATACCATCTGCGATGAGACCTGTGCCTCACAGTGACGAAAATCCTATTCCAAAACCCCCAGAATCCTACACTTGCGAATCAGAAAACGAATCAGATCATGGCGATCGATTGATTCGTCAGGAAGAAGATATGCCATCAACGTCAAGAGATCCTGATTTTACACCGAGCACGTCATGCCACCAACCGCACAAAACAACACAGTCAGAATTAAATGATCTTGTAAGAGATTTAGAACTTCCAAAATGTAAGGCAGACTTACTTGGATCAAGCGTGCAGCAGTGGAACTTTTTAGAAGACGATGTTTCGGTATGTGTTTTTCGTAAACGCCACAAAGACTTAGAACCATTTTTCAATATGGAGAATAACTTGGTTTTCTGCAGTAGCATTAACGGCTTACTGGCGGCTTTAAATATAAACTATAACCCAGAAGAATGGAGATTGTTTATAGACAGTTCAACATTGAGTTTAAAGGCAGTGTTATTGCATATTGGAAATATTTTACCATCTCTTCCTGTAGGGTATGCAGTTCACATGAAAGAATCATATGACAATATGAAGTACCTATTGACATGCATAAAATACGATGAGCACCAATGGCATATTTGTGGCGATTTGAAAGTTGTTGCACTTTTACTTGGGCTGCAGCTAGGCTACACAAAGTTTTGCTGTTTTTTGTGTGAATGGGACAGTCGGGCAAAAGCACTTCATTACACCAGACAAAACTGGCCTGTTCGTCAATTCCTAGAGCCAGGTAAAAAAAATGTACAGCATATGCCATTAGTAGATTCGAAAAAAATTTTATTACCACCACTGCATATCAAGTTGGGCCTAATGAAAAACTTTGTCAAGGCATTAGATAGAGATGGGTCAGCTTTTCAATACCTGCGTCAGAAATGTCCAAGACTAAGTGAGGCAAAGGTTAAAGAAGGTATTTTTGTTGGGCCACAGATTCGAAATATTTTGAAAGAAACCCAGTTCGAAAACACTTTAACAGGTATTGAAAAAACTGCTTGGAATGATTTCCGTCTGGTGGTCACTAATTTCTTGGGAAATATAAAAGCTGACAACTATAAAACCCTTGTCAAAAATATGCTGTCATCGTATCAAAAGATGGGCTGTAATATGTCTCTTAAGATACATTTCCTACGCTCACACCTGGACTTTTTTCCTGACAATTGCGGAGCCGTAAGTGATGAGCACGGCGAACGTTTTCATCAGGATATTTCAACAATGGAAAAAAGGTACCAGGGAAAGTGGAATCCTTCCATGCTTGCAGACTACTGTTGGACTCTTGGTAGAGATGCTCCAGAAACGATCCATAAAAGAACAGCAAAAAGACAGCGCATATAGTGATTCTTATAAGTATATGAATCTTGTTACTTTTTTAATATATCCTTAAAAATAAAATGTTTTTTCTAAACCGCAACTAATTTTTTTATTTCATTGTCATTTTTGAATTCAGCGCCCCAAAATTAACAAAGAAGTGCACTTTTCCCACAAGATACAATTAAAAAACTAAAATTTGTTGTCCAGTGAATTGTCCTATAAATGGGGTAACTGTTGGACAATAAACGCTATTATTATTATTATTATTCCGCGTTTGCTCGCTATGAGCGTTGTGTGCGTCATCGAAAACGTTCATCTATGGAGGAATGAGTGAACGACGCGACACGCTCAATGATCATGCTACAAGCTGCAAGTCAGTACGTCATCATACTTTGTTGGTTGCAGAATGCCGAGAATGCCGAGATAGTCTGTAGAGTATGCTCTGAGAAGATGTATGGTTGAGTAGCACAGTAGCAAGATCACATCCGGATGATTGTGTGTATAAAATTAGTGATATTTGCTATGTGAGAAGATTATAAGTGAATATGCTGCCCATGAAATACTCGTATATCTATTAGCTATGCCAGGCGGGTTATTTGTGTTGTCCTTTCTGAGGTGTTATGCTCAAAAGTTATATGTTACGATTTTCCATGTTTTTTTTTTGCATTTCCAAAAACTCTGAGAAGCACTGCGGGAAATCAGCGTTGAGGTGTGTGTAATTAAGCCACATCACAGAAAAATTAGGAATGACGCATCACATACACAACATTTTCGCACTGCCTCACATCTAGTCGCTGATTTGTATTTTCTGCTTGACATCGTAAAATAAATTTCTGTAAAATTTAAATGACTAGTAATAAAAATTAAATTGAAATATGATAACTTTTCATATTTTATAAATACTCCTGTATCTACCATATTTTCGCACCTGTGCCGCTATTCTTGACTTTAATAGAAAATCAGACTCCCTCTCTTTTCTACTCCCCAGGTTTTCGATCGATTCGAAAATACTGTATTCTTGAAAGATCTCGATAGAAAGGAGAAAGGAATTCAAGACACAGAGTTGCCAGGTTTGAGTAAACGTGTTAAGCCAATCAAAATGGATATAATTTTGACAGTCAAAAACTAACCAATTATTTTAGTCAAGATTTCCTCCTTATAATTTTATCTATGGAGCCGAAAACTTTAAAAAGCACATTACAAATGAACAAAGTGATCTGCGAGAGCACCCCCACCGCACCACGAAAAATTCAATCATAGTTTAAAGAAAACTGTTTTAGAATGACTAAAGCTTAATATCTATTCTTGCTTTTGTTTTGATCGAAAGTTCGTGGGGGTGCTTGTATAAATGGAGTCAATATCTCCGCAATTCATACACCAAATCTTTGGTCAAACATCTGTACAAATTTTCGATCTGAAATTATGAAAGGATCTCGGTGCCCCAGAATATCTCTCCCAATCTCCCATTCCTCAACTGCCTCCTCTACATCCTCGTTAATAATATCGTTCCAATACATCAATTGACTGAAATTAACCATTTTTTGCAATACGTTTAGCAGGAACAACAATAACAATGCCAAATACTCAATTTTTAGGTTATATAGCGCTATTTTCTACTACTTTTTCCAGTTTCTCTTGGTCACTACCAAAAGAAATCGCGAGTCCTTAAAGTGATTTCATTTCTATCACTTTTCGGTAGAATTGATTTCAATAATACTACATTTCTTGGCTACACCCACTTCTTGCCACTTTCTCTCACAATTTCTATTGCCTCAAACTCAAGAATAGAGGTCCTAGCAGTTTTTATATACAACAAGTGTACTGCTAAGCTGACATCTTGTAGAAAAACCTACATAATGTCAGAAAAAAACTATATAAAGTAAAAAAAAACGACATAATTTCACTTTTCAAGATAAGTAATACCCCTTCGGCTATTAGACGAGGCGAAAATCCCGCATATGCGAGAGAAGTTTTCAAAATCGATTTTTTTTCATAATCATCATGTCTGAATCATCTTGAACAAAAAAGGCTCCTTGAAACTAAAGTTCGCCATTTCTGAATAATAAACGATTTATGGTCTGTAAACCCTTAAACATGGGTATATCCAATGCACAAATAATCTGTTAAAAAGTATAATTTTTGAGGTCGCCAAGTATCTGAATTAAAGTTAGAGCCCGAAGACTATTTTAAGATTAGTTTATTTTGAAACGGTTTCTAATCTGTTCATTAGGCCAAAATTGACGAAATATTGATTTTCATTACGTCAATCATTATTTCAAGTTAACAATATATTCATACCTGGCGAGTCTTCCCGCTCTTCCTCTTTGATATGTCCCAGACTATCCTCTTTACTTTCACTCTCCTTTGATATGTTCTCTTCCTTCCCTTTATCACAGTGTTGATCATCTTTTTCCGCACCTTTCTGGCTTTGAGGTGTTTGTTGAGCTTCTTCGCATACCTCCCACAGCTTTTTGCTGGGCGATGAGCTTTGATGCTCGGAACTGCTCTCACTGGATGCTTTGCAGATCATTGAGCTGTCACTTGAAGGGCCCGTCGTGCTTGAGCTGTTTGTGCTTTCTGACATGTTGCTCTCATTCTTGATTGGCGAGACCATGGCGATCGCAGGTTTGTGTTGTTTCAGAGATACCTGCAACAATAAACATTGTTTAGTGACTAAACACGTGGCCGTGACACGTCACGTTTAGTGACAAGTCGTGACTAAAAATTAAACATCATACACAGGACCGAATTTAAAAGGGAGTTCTTCCATGTAACATTTATTCGTTGAGGGCTTCATTAAAAAGATACGGGGTGTTGAAGTTTAAAAATAAAAAACAATTTTTCCACTATATTCAAAACCCTCAACTGGAATGAACTAAAATTTGGTACGTGTATTCACCGAAGTATTGTCCACATTCAAAGTCTTTACTTAAAATTAGAGTGCACCAGTGACGGAGATACAGGGGATTATTGACATTATTTTTTAAAATAAAAATAGTACGCCACTGTTTTTTTAACGACCAATTTTTCAAATTTTACCTTAATTTGCTACAAATAATTACTCGTGTTTTTTCCTAGACTGCATTGTTTTCGTGAAAATAAAATAAAATAGATAATCAAAGCTTCATTTGAATAAATGTTCAAAAAGACCACGTAGACCTCGCAGACCAATGTAAGGGTCCGTATCTGCCAATCCATCGTTGTCTAAAATGATTATTTAACCATGCGGTCATGTCAAGACGCACATGCTGTGGGGCACCGTCCTGCTGATATCACATTCGTACTCTCGATGTAACAGAACATCAGCTAACACATTTTTGATGCAATTCTCTAGAAAAGCTAAGGATGAGTTTGTATTTAAACGTTGTGGCAATCCGTGCATAAGCAGTTGGCCATTGAAGATGCTGCACCAGACATTTCTAGAAAATCTGGATCGAAACAAGTGGATTCTCACAGAAGGGGGATTTTCTAACGACCAAATACGTTCATTATGAGAATTAAAGGTTCCACTCCTCGTAAAAAGCCATTCCTCTGACCACAAAACCAAATCAATAAAATCTGCATTTTGATTATGCATTTGCAGTAACCATTTTGCCGATGGTAAGAATGTAAAACTTCCTTATTTAAAATTCTCCACGCAAGACTTCGGGAATATGGTAACTGGGCTGCAATCCGCCTAGTACTTGTAGTAGGATCATCCAACGCCAAGTTAGTCACTTCCACTGAACAGTATATACAGTATAGTATTGTATATATTTTTGTTTTGCCCTTGAACCCATGAACTCACCTCCCATTTTAATTAAATATTTATTTTGAAAACAGGCAGGTTTCGGTTTGTTTATTGCTTGTCCGGTGATGAGGTAATTACGGAATCTACCAGTCTGTACCTTTTGTATGCACAAAAATCAAGTCAGGCCAAGTGGGGTAAGGGATGAGGATGTGCGTTCGTAATCATAGGCAACCCAAATCTACCCCTCTTATATGCCCGACTGCCTGAGTGTGTATGCATATGTATGATTGATATGGGGCATAAAACTGTGAAGACTACATAAAATTAACTTTTAGCTTTATTTTTGGTTTCAGCTCTTTTTCGGCAAGTATCGAAATATTTGAATTATCTTGAAAAATCGGGGAGAATGATCTTATCTGTAAATGTTCTCTTTTCGGTAGAAATACTGAAAAATCCGGTTCATGTCCATTCATAGACAACCTGAAATTTGCAGTACGAATTTATATTCTCAATTCTATGCATATCCGTTCATATTCATCAATATTTCATTTGAAGCCTTTATTTGTCATAAGATTTCAGCAAAATGTAAGATAGTAAAGGCAACACCGCACCCTGCAGCCCAGTTGACAAGAACGACAAGCTGTCAAGATTAGGGATGTTTAGATCCACGAAAAGTATCGTTATGTAACGATTCTTATCGTTTTAGGAAGTACCGGTACTATAAATGTTGGAATAAAATTATCGATATCCAGCGGAAGGAAACAAAGAAGAAAAGTAATCTGAAGCTGGTCACTCTTTCTGACACAGTCCGGATGGAAAGATGACGATACTCGTGAAATGTGATGATACTTTTAAATATAGGATCGTATCGAACATCCCTACTGTCAAGATGTATAACCCGAGGTACCGACGGGGCTATTTTGCGGCGTCATGGAAATAATTTTTAATTTTCATTTGCATTTTTTCAAGTGTTGTGCAACGATTTGGGGAAAAATTCCACGAATTGTCTTATAAAGCATAGTAGAGTATATTTCAACAGTTAGAGGAACTTACTCCCCTGGGACCAGGGGGGTGAAACGGGATATTAATAGACAATCTGGCAACCATGTCGCACCCTCAAAAAATGGCCGCTGATAACCATACAAGTCACCGTGTTGTCATGGAATAGCGTCGAATTAAACCTTCTTCAGGGTATAAATGTTTTGTGACTGGAACCAAGGGTTGATAGATCCCGCACAAACATGTGCCACTCGGGAGTTTTGATATGCAATAATCAGCTGTATTCAAATAATGTAGAATATAAATATAACCTAGAATGTGTACTCGTGAAAAAAGAAAAATATGGCAAATTTGTAGTTTTTTGCAGGTTTTAGGTTTGCTGGCAGCTTTAAGACATATATTTGGGAATTTCTTAATCGCTGTGAATATAGTGTGGATGTTTGTTCAGTTCCTGAACAACGAAAAATATTCAACTTCATGGATGTATGGATATCAAAAAACCTGAATGGTTTTGTGGGAATATCAGTCTAAGGTGCCATAATGGTTCTGAACGGCAAGTAAATGAATGAATGTTTGGAAACGAGCAATATCTATGAACTTTTTGGTAGAGCCTGCCATCAAGTAGGTGGTTAATGGCTATCTGCAAGAGGTTTATAGGAAAAAACACCCAGTAGGTGATGTTGAATCAGGAAAATCGCATATCAATTAAAGAAAATAATATAAACATGAATAAAAAATCAACAATAGTAATTAAAACATGAATTTAATTCAAAAATCAAACATTACTTTAAAGTTTGACTGAATTATATGTAATTTGTTAATATTCAATAAGCTGGTGATGTTTCAATGACAAGCTGTCATCTCATACTTTGTCAGTATTTTGTTTTCAACATTTCATAGCTATTGGCTGCTAAAATTTGTTGACTGGAACTTGAAGCTCATTCGTTGTATTTGACGGACTGTTACCCTATAGGTGGAGAATAACGGACTGTTGATTTGACAACCTTGGTGAAACCCACCCTTAGTCTAACTTTTATAAACTGAAGTGGTTTAGTATCATTTTTAGCTCTTGATGATGGTTGCATATTTGACCGAAAGCTTGAGATAATAAAAGTTGGAAGAGGACTCCCATAGATTATTTCTTGCCGCAGTCACAAAGTTAACTGTTAACTAGTTATTGATCGGTAATGACTACCCTCAACTTATACCTGTATATATAAATGTGAATACTTCTAATAACAAAATTAAATTCTCTAAGTCACTTCAAGAAAATATAGATCAATTGAATGACCTAGCGTGGCTGCTAAAGACACTAATTTGGAAACATAATTCAACTCTTTCAAAAAAGAGGTTGATAAGAATATTCATGATAAAAGGATTAGTTACTATCACTCGATAATAAGCAAATCTTCAAACAAATAGAAAACTACTTGGAATCTTGTCATTTTTCAAAAAGTATGGATAGATGAATAACGTATATCACGAAAAATACGTTTCACAAAATTGTTGTAGAACAAAGTTGTAAGGTTTGAAAAGACTGACCGATTGTTGACTTTAAACGTAACCTTCAAGCTCATTTGAGTCAAGGAAGTGTTCTTGAATAAAACCTCGATTTTTGACACCGGAAATGTGAAGTGCGCGAAATATTACGTTAAAGTATATCTATGCCTATGACCTTGACTATGACCTTCATGTTGGGGAAAGGTGGAAATATCTTGAAAAATACATTACAAAAGATGCAAATAATGGTACCCATGAAAATATGATGATGACATTCAAGCTCAATTGAAGGTCAAGACAGCATTCTTGAATGGAAAGCCCTAATTATGACACCATAAATAAAAAGAGCAAGCGAATTTTTATTCAAATGTCTATCCTTGACCATGACTATCAAGGTCATTTGAAGATCAAATGCATTTTTAGCGAGAAACATCTATTTTTAAATGCTGAAATGCAATTTGCGGACAATTTTAAGTTCAATTATATATTTGTCAATGAACTCGACCATGACCTTCAAGGTGATTTTAAGTAAACTTCTTACGATTCATCGATGATATGAAAAACATTGAAATTAATTCATTGTTGCTTTAAAATGTTGGATATAAAACGTTCATTGCCATTGGGTTTAGTCTGGTAGTCGCTGAACGTGGGTATCATAAGAGGTAAGCATGCAGATGCACTAGGCCATACTTCAAGGGCTTTGGGGCCAGAAAAGTTAATAATAATAAAAAATCAATCCTCAACCATCTGAGACAAGTAACATTTTAAAAAAAACATGTTTCTTTTCTTTATATTTCGAAAATTCACCTTGACCGAAATACAGGGTGATAACATTATTATTTCGAAATCTAATCAAAATATGTCTTCGGAGTGGAATAATATATTAACTAATTTTGTATGAATAGTAGTAAAGTAGTAACATCATAGCCAATAAATGCAAATAGAGACTACTAGTACACCAATGGTTTAGAAACTAGGGAATCTTGACTCCTACAGATGGAAAAGCATGCCTTTAACAACACTGAATTTTTTTTAAACTATTGCATTTTTGGTATTACTTTTTGTCAGTCTACTCCTTTTGGAGAAAAAATCTTTTGAATATTTCTTTATATACTGTATTAGGAGAGTAGTCCTATCTCAGCATAGCATTTCGTGTCCTACAACCGATTACCTATTTCTGAAGGAGGTTGATCGAATAAATCTATGTTCTTTTCCACGGTGGTCGATTCAGGGTTTGAATATAAAATGGGAACTTAGATTTTTTTATCAAGACATGTGGCACGTAAGTGAAATGTCCAATAATAAGCAATAAAGTCAATGATTCTTTCGCTTGAGTTATATCGTTATATTCCACTAACCATACTTGCTGTTAAAAGAACATAAGTGAAGCACATTTTTCAGGATTTTTCTACTATTACTATCATTGATAGAATGTGAGGGTAATTCGACTATCAATCATTTAAAACTCAAATACTGTGTTAAGCGCAAAACAGTTCTTTGAAGCTAGTTTATTTGTCAGTCACACAGTTTTTATCGAGTCCTGCACAATTCAATACAAAATTATTGCTTTAATTGCTTCTTATATGCAAAGATTGGTTCTGGATTGATATTCATTTTTACGAATATTTTTTTAAGCAGCTTGTGTATCGGATAAAATCAGCAAGACGAGTTTTTAATGTAGGTTGTTGTCATTTTATTTTTTCAATTGTAATAGAAATGCTTTTGAGTATTACAGTTTATAAAATTTTAACGTGTCTTGATTTGCTTTTCTCTTTTCTCGCCATGCAATTGTCAACGTTTGCCAGGTAACTATACGTAATCCTCTTTTCTGTGTGAATTCAAATGGAAAGAACCTTTTCTAGACAAGTGCAGCAAGAACAACTATAATAAGTTGTGCTAGGTTAAAAAAATCTGATTGGTGAGTAGTGGACTACACATCTGGTAAAAGGGATATAATTAAACAGAAGTATGGTATAGAGTATAGACAGTGATAGAACTGATACGTCTGGACCTAAGTAAAAAAATTACAAACCTGTGAGCTTTCTCTGGATATCCCGGTGCTGGGTGGCGGCTTGAACGAGCTTGTGCTTATATCCCTGGCGATCTTCGAAGTCCCTTTGATCGCAGCCGTAGGCTTGGGAATCCCCGTACCAGCCGCTGTTGGCGGGGGTATGTGCGACTTCATCACAGGCGATGGTTCTTTATTCACTGTCACTTTCACTTTGGGCTCAACGAGTTTTGTCGTTGTCAAATTCGCGACCTTATGGGCGTGCTTCTCCACCTCGACAGCCGTCTTGTTGCACTTGCTGGTGAGCACCTCTTTCTTGGTGGCGTTTGGACTGTTCTTGGTTTGTGCGGGCTTTCCCGGTCTGGTTTGCTTCAGCCTCGAGGTGTTTCTGATAGGTTTGAGGTCCACGTTGGGCTCTAAGCTAATGCTGGAGTCGCTTCGTTCGCTTCTTGCTGATGAGACTCCGCTGGAACTGCTAGTGCGTTTACCGTTGGTTTGAACGGGCTTTTCGGTGTTCTTGAAGAGTTTCAACTTGTCCAACATCGAGTTCTTCTGGATCTGGCCGTTGCTCTGGAAGATAAATTATAATTTTTGAACAGACGTCTGTAGTAGGTAAGAACTTGTGAAAGCTCGTTAACATTCATACATTATTTTAGGATTGAGGTCACACGATTTCTGGATTACAGTACAGATCGTTTGTCCATCCTATTCCATTTTCATCCAAAAACTGTATTCCTAATTTTTGAGGTGTACAACTTTTTAGGCGTCTTGAAAATATTGAAATAGATATGTGTATTAAATAATGTTACACTAAGGGTAGTAGGTATCTCAAAAACCATCCATTGCGGAGATATAAATGAAAGTGGATAAGGCCAACTGAAAATTATTTTCGAGTTCCTAGGACGACCACTAGTTGTGTAATTGCACCCTTATATAATACACCGTTTTTCGAAAATACTCTCAATTTTTAACGCATGAATACATATATCTGAAATCGACTTTTAAAATCAAGTAAAATCCTTTTTCTTTAAATCATTTATCTTGCTTAAAAGAATGTCATCGATGTGAGGATATGAACTGAAACTATAATTTTTTTGCTGAATCCTTCAAGGTCGTTTTCGTACTTACTTAACTATAGCACTAACCACAGGAACAACCGGAAAACGTGTAGGAGGGTCATCGGTCTACGACCGGCTAATATCGAAAATGCACTAACATTTGTTTCAAGGTGTCGCAAACGCCAAATCCACTTACAATCGCTTTTTCAGTATGGTAGGGACTGCTGACTTGCCGCGTGGGACTCCGAGGTTCATGAACAGGACCGCATTAAAATATTTTTGGGCGTGGAAATCTCATATTGGTACACACTACGTATTCGTGGCGTAAGTGACTGCTGAGTGAGAAAAATCTGACAGTTGGAATGAGTTCTAACGTATTATCTTTGAGGCATTGTTTTTTCTTCAATTTTCGATTTGTTCTACCCATCGATATGACTGGAACGACACTAAATTTTCACATCTACATATAGTTTTATTCAACGGTCAGGATAATATGGTTAGTTTTTCTCTCTATTTATTTATTTGTTTCATTTTCCAAATATTGTGTACTTTTTAGTATTTGATCAAATAAGGATATTTTCGACTATGAATATTTTATCACAAAACTCACATATTCTCATGAACAGTCATGAACAGAAATACGATATCCTTCTAACATCCTCCAATTTTCGTTGGGTCTTGAAGACGGAGTATCCTTGGTATCATCACGAATACGAAGTAGTATTATTGTGAATCAATAGATTATTTAATAAGGCTATAAGTTTTAACTCCTTCAAGCTTTACGGAAACTTCGATTATTACGTGGTTCGGAAGACTAAGTCCTGGTACTTCTAGAAGACAGAAAGTCAAAGCTTGGCAAGGTAATGCGGATAGTTTCTCTTTAAATTTTTTAAGCTCATTAGTAAGGAAAAGTAAATTCTTCGAAGATTGCATTTAATGAATGGACTTACCAATAATAGTGTTTACCTTTTATTGTCGAACTAGTTAAAATATTTTAATAATGTCACGTTATCACTGGAATGAACATACAGCCTAAAATTTCTTTCACATTTGTAAGAAAAATGGCGTCGAGTAAGTTGACTCTCCACTCCTCACGCAACGCTATCAACAGTCCATAACAAATTATGTAGGCACAAACAAGCCCCTCTCAGAATAAAGTTAGCTACGATCTTGTATAACAGAGGTATTAAATGGATTAATTCAGTCAAATACAAGAGTCCCCAGTCTCCACCAATTTTACAACGTTGCGATCTATAAATTTCTCCCAGGCCCTACCGATAGCACCGACGATCTGACAACGCTGCGATCATGATTGCGATTACTAAGAGCCGTATGGTCAGTCGTTCCTACAATTGTAGGATGCCTTCATGGCTACCTTGATTTCCATAGTTTTTTCTCTCCTTCAGACAGGCTGGGCTATTTCTACGTTTGAGTCAGCGACAGCGTTTTCGTCATGTGAGGCAAAGTTTTCTTTTTGAATTGTAGGAAATTTCAGGATAATATAACAGATGATATAGATCAAAAGCATGAACAATTTGATGCAAATATGGAACAGTAGAAAACTATGAAAATCAAGGAGGCCATAAGGGCGTCCTACAATATTGTAGGAACGACTGACGATACGACCTTAAATCTCACCAGGAAGCGGGCAGCTCCCAACAAGTTTATTTTTTATTCTCATTGCGTTCGACCATGAGTTCAATGCACATATCCAAAATATGCCTCATTCTTCAGTCTTAAGGATGAAGGTACAGGGAGATCTATGTGGTGCGTAGAATAGCCAGAGTTGAAGCGCATAAGCATACCAACACAGAGACATTGAATTATATCCTCTCCTCAATCCCTAAGGCGCTCCCACCCTCGATTTTTTACCCCTCAGAAATTTTCCAAAAATAATAGGAGATTTTGAAACGTAAAAAACGAAGTTGTTTTTATACTCCAACTACCACAAAGGCCTAAGGCCTAAACACCCATTGGATACCGTGGGGCTATAGGGGGATACAGGAGAAAGGGGGAACGCCACACGGACTCTGGCGAGGGAACACGTGTGCATGCAACATGCACACATTCTGGCTCCGCCTACGAGATCCGCCGGGTGGTACCTCCACCTTCGACAGTCAGAGACCGTCTACCACCTACGGACAATCACAATATCCATAGCCAAGAGAAAAATTTCTCCTGGGACGGGACTCGAACCCGCACAGCGCACGGCGAGTGATCAGGAGACCGAAGAGTCTACCACTGCTGCCCAAGTATTGTGTTTTTGTCCGCAACTCTACCGCCATTTTCAAAAACTAACAAAGCCTGTTGGTGTTGATTCTTGACATAGCTGTAACTTATAATATAAAAATTCCATCAAAATTCGAGCGGTACTTTTCAAGGGATGGAGAGGCCAAGAATCAGAGGATATTCAAACTATCAGACAAAGCTACGAAAATAGTGGCGTGATTTTTCATGAGGTACTCGCGCATTTCATGTGGCATCCAAAAGCATAATAAGTAGATAATTTTGGAAAATCTTCGCGATTAGAATATATTTCCTCACCAATTGGCGTGCGAAGCGTTGACGATTTTTGCATGAATCTTGGGACGAGGCGTTTTTACCGACAGACGCGAATGCTCAATCAGCGGTTATAAGAGCAAACACCCTTCTGACAGTTCAAGGGCGGGAGGGTGCGATACGTCTAGGACGGCGCACATCTCATGATCCACATCTAATTACAATTTGACTATCACACTAAGAGACAGCATTTTCTTGCAAAATTGAGAGGCTTGAGCACCCTCCGTGCTATATCCAAGTCCGCCCTTGGGCGTACATACTTGACGAAAATACAACACAAATAATAAAAATTAACGAAAAAAACCCTCATGTGATATAGGTAATATAATAAGAAAGTATCTGTCGACAACAAATATCTGCCTCATAATAAACGCAATTCGCACTCGCCTATCTCTTTCTAGTAGATTAAATACGTTCTCGTCAGGTTTCTTTGGAATATATTTTAGACGAAAACGCCTCACTTTCGACCTATCTCATTTTCTAAAAACAAAACCGCCCACTCTAAACCACTACCAAATCCACTTACCGTTGCTTTTTCAGTCTGATAGGGGCTACCCACTTGCTGCGTTGGTCCCCGTGGAATCATAGACAGGGCCGGACTGGAACTCCGGCTGGATCCAGCTACCGGCCGCACTTTGTCCGGAGGGCATCTACGAGCAGGGATTGCAGAGCCGGGCAGGGGGATACTGCTCGCAGTACCACCAGCTCCTGTCTTGTGGGGGATGGCGGACGATCTGGAATAAGCAAATTTGTGTTTTAGAGCGGTTACATAACGAAAAAAATTGCTAAAAAGAGCGTTTAGTATTACATTTATGTAGGTATAGTTGGCGGGCCAAACTATCAGTATCCCTTTATATATCTCCATCTCACTCATACATACACATACAACCTATCCCTGTGGGTGAATATTTGTTCGGTAAGCTCAAAGACATACGTTTTTTAGTGTGGGTCTCGGTCTCGAAAACTTTGCCGTTACGTATGAGTGTCCTTCGATCATATTTGTCAGAGTGATAACTTACTTGACATTGGCGAGAAATTTGAGTTGTCCTGTTATCAATCTTCAATATAAAATTGTACAATGCGCGGAAATACATCAATGGAGAAGGCCGACAGCTCCTGCTAAATTTATTTCCAGGAAGAGAATGAAAACAGCGGTCCCCTGTTACCCACTTCATGCGTACTGGAGAGAGTAACAGATGCGCGGAAGATTAAGATCCGCCCATGATAGGGAGACTCGATCTGTTTACTTATTTCATATGGCGTTGATGGCGTAACCGTCGTGTAAAGCCGCATACAGACCGAGATTCCAACGCAAGCCAAGGCAGATGTGGTTACAGATTTGGAGCTGTTCGAATCGGCGTGTACGGAGCAAGCCATTATAAGGTAAAGGTCTCCAAGGTAGCCGTTGGCGTTCGATTGCGTTTGCTCCATGATCGTTACATCAAAGGGAGGTTTGATTTGGTCTGGACAGGAATTGCTGCGCTTCTAGTATTTAGTCGTTTGTCTGCACTGGATGAGAGGAGACTCGTTGCTCGACATTAGCACCGAACTCAACCCAACGCGGTCCAACTCAAACAAACAAACAATACTTTCCAACGACAAACGCCAACGTCACATGTGCTTGCATTCTCTTGCTCGGCGTTGGATTTTCGGCCTGTACGCGGCTTTAGGCTTACGGCGGGTTTATACAACCTTTTCATAAGCAAAAACATAAGCATAAACACAATCACAAGTGTCTTTATATAACTGTCTTAATCATAGTCATAAGCAGTTGTCCATTTGTGATTTTGACAGACGACTGCCTCCTGGCCCCTCGTTCTTGATCAACTTTAGCAATGATAGAAATATTAAAAAAACAAAAATCGAACAAGCCAACGGCAGACACGTGAAAAGCAAAAACAAAATGGGATAGCGACAAGGGCAATAAGCCACAAAACATCGAAAACCCAAATAAATTGTCACAAAGAGAACCAGTTTTGACAAACAGACAACGTAAAATGAAATGAAGTTTCAACCATAATCATAAGTATACGAGATAAAAGATGGGCCAACCCACTATGCTTATGGTTATGACTATGAATTTATATAGAGTAGGACTAGGCAATAGAGTGTCAGTTGATTGTGTACAGTAAATGAGAATGGACGCGAATGAAGCTGAATATTTGTGGTTGACAACATACAGAATAATGAAACAACGGAAAAAAGAAAGGGCATACTGGGTTTACTCGATTTTGAGGAATAGATTTCCCACCCTATCCCAGCCTTGATATAAGATCCGACATTTAGAATCTTTAAGGATGATACTGCAGCAGATGGAAATACAGTAAGTTATTGAATGTCACTAGGAGGAAGACTCAATATTTGAATATAACTTGGAATGTCGCAAATAGCAGGCCTTTCTTCAATTAGTTGAATGAAAAGATCTGTGTCTTAATTCTTCGCATGCATATTTCATTACCGTAAATTAGAGAGCAATTTTTGGAAGATACATCAGATAGATAGACTGAACGCAACAAAAAACTAGCGTCAATTAAACAGGGCAATGGGAACGTCTAGTATCTCAAGACGCGCATCGACGCTTGAGTGAGTGTAAGTTTTCTGACGCGCGCAATCCGAAAACAGTGATTCAAATATGTGTAGTTGAGTTAGGGACTAAAAGCCTCTTCATGAGTTTTGGAGGGTCACGGTAAAACTTCTGGTACCACTATCATAGATCCATTTGCTTCACAGACACATATGCAATGTGCCCAGTTGCGCGGAACTTTGTGTAAGCTTACAAGCATACGTTTTTTAGTTGACTATTCCTCATCTATATCACTGTTAGTGCGACAACCTTCTTTTCATGGATGTGCGATTTAAGTTTACCTTTTATTGGTCTTCGTAATATAAAACATAACAATGTCTAAAAATACAACTTGACAGTGTCGACAGTAGTTGTTAAATTTATTTGAGCTTTTTCATAAATTGAATAAAAGCATCAGTCCTTTATTAACTAATTCATGTGTGCAAGAGCAGCTGCGTGGAAGGATTGTACAGTTTGCAATTTCCTCTAGAAAAGTTTATCTGTTTATTTATGTCATGTGATTTTCTATATGTGGAGGCTCAGCTATTAGATTGCAGACAAATTTATGTTTATTGTGGTGTAATACATTATTTCAAGTATTCGAAATACTTGAATCGTACCATTCATAACTACCCAACAAGATTCAATCAAAATTCAATGTGTATTCCACAAACATCAAAAACCATTACACAACGATCTCTGTTTTTCTTGGGACCAAAATTCTATAACTTCATACCAGAGTCATTAAAAGTAATTAAATCAAATAAATCATTTAAAAAAGAACTAAAAAAATGGATTTTATAACAACCAAGGTACTCCATCCACGAAATTGTAGATCTGAAAAATCATTATCAAAATCATATAACATCCATACTTTTACTTTAGTTATAATTGTCTGGATATTTTTCCTGACGTTACCATAATAATTCACCAAATTATACAGTATTAACGGGTTTTTTTTCATACACTGACTGTACTATTACTTTGGTTTTTATTTTTAACAAACCCAAACACAAGTGCAAACTTTTTTTGGGTGCTTTATGTTTATTGTGCACAATATTTGATATTTACGTGTATTTTGTGACAATAAACTTTATTATTATTATTATTATTATTATTATTATTATGTGGCAATGATAACCGCCAAAAACCGTGAAAATACCTACAGATACTAATGAACTGTGAGGAGTGCGAGATTAGTCAAGTAGCTTAGCTAAAGGACACATATTTAGACATCCAGGTATTTATGTTTAGAAGAACTTTTTCATCTAATCACCCAAGCAATAATCTACTCGATAATTTTAGGTTACAGAGAGACTTAACGAAACAAAAAGAAACTGAGGTAGAAAAGAGTCTAAGAAAATGATTTGACAAAATATCTGCCATGTTTCGATTCAATATACATATTCTGGATCCCTACTGCCCTTGGAGAAATTCTCAGTCCCTTTGAAACCTCTATGTTTAATTTTGTCTTCTATATGACAAATATGTCATAGCCATATCATATACTGACTTCAGAGATTTTATTGGGAATTAATATATTTTCCCGAGAGAGTCATGACAAACACTGCTTTGCCACATACAATATGTAGAGGAAAATTAAATTGGGAGCATTAGACTCGAAACTATAATATTCCAAAACCATAGACTATGAACGATTGCTGATATTGCACGGAAATAGAACGTCACATGTATTACTAAATCGTCATACCCCTTAAAAATCTAGTGTCCAATTATGAGCATTTAATCATGCCCTCGTAAAGAAACGGTTTATGGTGTGCAGTCAACCGCCAGAAGTATGGTAATTCACAACAGCCACGCTAAAACGGAATTCAAGTTAACGCTGAATGTTACTACCGGAAGGGTCAGATGAAAAAAAAAAACATGGGGCATATGATAGCGGAAATCTTCATATGGTTATATTTAAAAAAGCAATGAAAAGCCTTTGTCATTGAATTATACTGGTTCTTAGAACGAGGATATGAGGACATTTGTTTACAGTTTACTGATTACTCGCCGTTCAAGTCAATAATATAGTGAATATGAGGTTTTCTGATTCAGCACAATTATCTAATAATATTAAGACAGCGATTATCTGTACAACTGTTGTTGATGTTTGACAAAAATGCACAAAATAGTGATTCTTGAAAAATCATCCGAATTAGATGTGCCTAAATATTCATGGAAAAGTCAGAAGGCTCTGGTATCAATATTTTCAAAGTTACAAGGTGCCCAAGTGTAGCAAATTCAAAGTAATGATTGGTGCGTGGATTAGAAAAGTGACAGATAAGCACTCACTCTTAGAACGGAAGGCTTAAATATCAACAGGTTCTAAAGATATAAATCCGAATAATTGTTTTCATAAAACAGCAGTTAATTCCTAATCAAATCAACAAACTACTTGTGTAATAAAACAAATCATAAAACTTGTTTTTAATCGATTCTGAACGTTTGTCCATGATTTTGTGCAATCGCAGACTTCTTTTGTATACGGAAACTTGCAATGGACTAAAAATGGCTGGTCGACATCTTATGGAACTTTGTAATGAGTATCACAGTGTTGTTTCCAGGATCCTCATTTGAAACGAGGGAGTAGAATCCCTGAGAGAAAGTGGAAGTGGTTTTGTTTTCTGTGGAATGATATCAAATTCTGAAAGCTGTTGAAATTTGTCAAACGAGTTCGTGAGCGCATCAATTTTCTGTAAAATGATCTGTTCCCAGCTTTTGCAGATCCAGCACATCCCACCACAAAGTTAACTTTGTCTTTTTAGATGAGAATGATGAACAAAAGATGCGAATGATGAACGAACGCGAGACTCCGCACTTTTTTCCCGAGAATGATTCGAGGAGTGGCTCTTCTATCAGCGTTCAGGAATACAGTTTCCCGAAAGGTAAGACAACCTTTCCTACTTCCTCTTATTTTTTCCATTCCCTCATGTCAAAAATTGGCATTCTGAGTAAACTGATATTAATCACGTTCATCAGAGTACAGCGGTACTCAAGCAATCACTGTTTTTGTTATTACTACGTTTATACTCTCATCTCAAAACGGATTAACATGAAACTCGGAATTTTTCCTACGAGCTCTGGTAGATTCTGAATCACCTGCGTTGCAACCACATGCAAATGCAAGATTTCAACGTTGTGTGTAGGTTGGTACGCGTATTCAAG